AAAATAAATCAAGCAAGCAAGCAAGTCAGGGATTTGCCAGGTGTTGGAAGGGAGTGCTGCTCCTTTTGGTGCTCCCACAGCAACAACTTACACATCACTAAGCTAGAAACTTGACTCAGGTTGGGAGAAGCTCCTCTGGCCTGTGCTGTCATTTTCCATGCTGAGAGGATTGCATGCCTCTGGAGGAGAAAGACAAAACTGTTGTTGTTGATGTCATCCTGCTCTCAGAGGACCAGGTATGGAGGATTCAACTTCCTACCAATTACGGTTCTGTACCTGTTTTAGAACTGACAGCATCATTCTATGCAGGCACTCCGAATTCAAAAGGATCTGGACAGACTATGGTAGTGGGCCAAGGACAACATGATGACATTCAATGCAGATACATGCAAGGTCTTGCACTTGGGGCACTGGAATGGGTGTCATAGTACAACTTAGGGGAGAAGTGACTGGAGAGCAGCACTTGTGAAAAGGAACTCGGGGTGATGGTCAACTACAGGATAAACATGAGCCAGCAGTGTGACGTGACGGTCAAGAGGGAGAATGCCACCCTTGGATGCATCGCCAGAAGCATGGCTTCTAAATTGAGAGGGGTATTACTGCTACTCTATGTGACTCTGGTGCACCCGCAGCTGGAGTATTGTGTTCGGTTCTGGGCCGCTCATTACAAGAGGGAAATAGCAAGGTTGGAATCGGTGCAGCGAAGGGCCACTAGGATGGTGGCTGGTTTGTAGGGTAATTCATATGGGGAGAGACTGGGGGGGCAGGGTCTTTTCAGCCTTGAGAGGAGGAGACTCAGAGGGGACCTGTTAGTGACATACACATATGTGAGGGGGTGCCTCATGGAGGTGGGTCATGACTTTTTTCCCTGCAATGGAGGGCAGGACATGTTCCAATGGAGCAAACCTCAGGGAAACAAGATTTACGGTGGATGCCAGGAAGTACTTCCTGATGGTTAGGACCCCTAGGATATGGGATGGGCTTCCACGGAAGGTGGCTGAAGCCCCATTGGTGAGAGTGTTTAAGGACAGGCTGGACATGCACATGGTAGGCATGTCATGGTAGGCATGTCATGAGCTGGCTGGAGCTGGGGGTCAGACTAGATGGCTCAGGAGACCCTTTCTGACTCACTCTGTTTCTATATTTACTCAGAAGAAAGTGACTATGCACTGGAGCTTACTCCAACAGTGTGTTTAAGATTATACCCTTGAATCCTTGTTTACTCACAAAGTCCAAACAATTTTAAACAATTAGAAAACCAACAATCCATTCCTCTTTCTTGAACTACTTTTCTTACCTGACAACATACATGTTCTTAATGGCATCCGTTTTAGCTGGAGAAAAGAACTTCTCTCTCTTAATCTGCTGACATTCCTCTGAAGGGATCTCATTTTATTTTTAATTACAATTCTTAAGTATCCCTAAAAATACTTGCTTAGGTCTTCAAACCATATTTTCATTTGTCTTCACTTTCTTCTCTCAAGTATGAGCTTTTAACACTTCAATGTGTTTCTAACAGGGAAATCTTGCACTAGTACTAAGATAACTTTTTCTAGGCTGGCATCTACCTTTGTTACAAAAAATGAATGCCAACTTACACATGGCCCCACTCCTTAGCATGGTGCGGGGGGGAGGGTAAGCGTCTTAGAAAAGCAGCGGCAATGCCATCAGAACCTCTCACTAGTATGAAAATGCATTAATTGTAAAAAAGTGGGAAGGGCAGAACATCTTGGGAGACAGCAAGGAAAGTATCAGGAAGGGCATTAGTCTGTTGCAACAAAAACAGCATGCAACCTGACCCTGTGTGTTTTAGAGCATAAGGAAGCCCCACTGAGTTCAAGGTATCAGATATGCATTGTAGCCGAAGTGTAATGGTACTTCAAATACTAATACATATATTGTGCCATGAACTTTTGTGGATTATTTCCCACTTCTTCAATTAAGGACACAAATCAGTAGGCCACAAGAAGAATGACATTCTACAAAATAGTAAGTGCTCACCAATAAATAATTTAAAAAGCTCTTCATTCCAATGTATAGTGTGCATACCCAAATATCCAAAAACCTTTATCATGAGCAGTATGTGCAGCAGTGCTTAAAACAAAAGTATCAGCTTCATGGTACCAAACAAAGGGAAGTTGTAACACATTGCAAACTGCATCTCTGCTTGGCCATACTCAAAGAGAATGAAGAGAATACAGCATGCACATACGTGTATTAAGCTCACAGTGCGTTATAATGCACACTAGCATATTCATGCACTTTTGTTTTTGTACAAAGTCATTCTCATGGTCCATCAATTGGTTTTGCATCTATTTTCCACCACGTCAGATGCATGTGGCATTTATTGCCAGCTGGAGGTTACGCACTCCAATATAATGAAATGCAATAGATACAACATGTGTCACTGCTATGGAAAACTCGAATGGTCGGTCATCGTGCTTCTCTTGGCTACATTTGAGTATGAATATTAAAGTATGACAAACTGTACCTGTGCCTTTTAAGCCCACTGTTTACAATTATTTCCTTTGTCTGAATATCTGTTTGCATGCATGTGGGGATCTATTGAGGACAATGGAGCATAAAAACTACGCATCTGATGACATGGGTTTATACCTTTACAAGACTTCATGGTGCCATAAATTCTACTGTTTTTCCTACTGAATTGGTCTCAAGTCTACAGAACTCCTTCAATCACGTTATGAAACAGGAAAACTAGCTCTCAGTTGCAGAATTCACCTATAAAACTCAAGAATATCTTCATTCTATTCTAATATTCTAAGGTGTTCATTCAGAGGCTCCCAAAGAAATTCATCAACTTTATCCTCTTTCTGGCACCAGGCAAAAACATTTCTCTTTACTATGTATTTTAACAACTGATTTTAACTTTTTGATGCTAATGATTTTTATGGTTGTCCTTATAACTCGTCACATTTTTAAATAGCCACTATGACATTGTTGATGTTTTATTATGGTGTATTATATGTTTTTACTGTTTTATTGTTTTTAAGAATTGTGTTTTGATTATTATTGTACACTACCTAAAGATCTCTGTCAGCTACATACAACATACAAGTGTAAAAATAAAATTAATATAATATAAAATAATTTTAAAATGAAATTGAAAATTCAAAGGAAAAGGGAAGATTAGGTAGGGCTTTTGTTTTTGGGAAGTAGAACAGTGCACAAATCCTGTCCTTCCTATCTTGCTGGGTCTGCTGTTAAATGTTTTCATAAGCATCCCTTCCACAGAGCTGTATCAATACCTGACCAATGCATTCCTAATTTTACAGAAAGTGCATGCATGAACTCTCTGCAAAATCTCTTTGGTATCACAACCAAGTCATAGTTTCAAACAGTGGTAAAATAATAAATGAAGATAATCATATTTGCCTATCTTCATAATTAATTTTACTTACAATATGTGTTTTTTTGTCAAAGAGGTCTGTGATATAAGCATACAGCTTCTCCTGTTATGATCAAAGTGTTGCTCTAACACATTTGCCCTACTGGACTGGTCTGGTTAAAGCATACCAGTTTCTACAGTCTTTGATAACCAAAGAAGGGATGAGTTCTGATTGCCTTTTAACTTCCTCGGCCCTGGCTTACCCACCCTTTTCACCTCTCCGCATAAACCTTTCTCTAGTCTTACTGTCTATCCGAGCAGAGGTCTTTCACACTTACACACCCTTGGAAGATCTAGTAAATCACTTTTCAAAAAGATAGCAGCATCTTGGCAATGTTAGACACTGTGCCTGGAACCCATCACTGCCACCACAGAAGATGTCATCAAGTCATGAGTTACAAGTGTGATTTCCAAAACTTCCAGCTGTCTTCTAGCACTGATTTATTTACTTTAAATTTCAGAAAAAAGCAAACTGAACTTTAATATTTTAGTTCCTAGATAAACAAAGTGTTGTTAATTTTAAGTCTTTTATATTGTTTCAAATTTCTTTTACTTCCTGCTTTGGTTTTTAAACACTCATATTCTTATTTACAAGTATATCTTGTTTTATTGTGCTTCGCTGATATTGCTTTTTTTTATAAATAGAAAGCTTGTGGCAACCTTGAGTTGAGCAAGTCTATTGGTGCCATTTTCCCAACAACATTTGCTCACTCCATGTCTCTGTGTCACATTCTGGTAATCCTCACAATATTTCAAACTTTTTCATTGTTACTATATTTATTATGGTGATCTGTGACCAGTGATCTTTGATGTTACTATTGTAATTGTTTTGAGGTGCCATAAACCAAGGCCATATAAGATGGCTGCAATCTCAGGATAGAACTTTAACAGATGAAGAGTCACAAAGAAACTCCTGGATGAGCAAAGAAAGGGGTTTCTTGAGATGAAATTCCATGAAGACTGTTGAAATGACAACAGAGGATTCAGAATACTACATAAACTTAGTTGATAAAGCAGCAGCAGGGTTTGAGAGGACTGACTCCAATTTTGAAAGAAGTCCTACTGTGGGTAAAATGCTATCAAATAGCACTGCATGCTATGGAGAAATCTTCTGTGAAGGGAGAAGTCAATTAATGTCGCAAATTTCATTGTTGTCTTATTTTACAAAAAGACCTGCCCCAGCCTTCAGCATCCACCACCATGATCAGTCAGCAGCCACCAAAAGCAAGGCAAGACTTCCACCAGCAAGAAGATTACGACACTGAAGGCTCAGATGATAGCATTGTTAAGCAATAAAGTTTTAAATATTAAGACGTATACATTTTTAGACATAATGCTATTGCATACTTAATAGACTACAGTATAGCATAAATATATACTCTTACATATACTGGGAATCAAAACGATTACTGTGTCCCACTCTATTGTGATATTATTGCACTGGTGTGGAACTGAACCCGCATTATCTCTGAGGTATGCCTGCACAAATATGGATTATTACAATATTTGAGATTGGCATAGCCACTGTTGTAACAGCAGGGCAATTAATGCACTCCGTATTTCTCATCTCTCCTACCATGTTCTTCATCACAAGACCTGCAGGCTACTGGCTCACGAGACCTGAGGTAGCAGAGCTGGAGAAGAGGCAAACTGGACACTCCCCCACCCCCACTCCCTGCTAGGAAGACCTGCCACCATGCACACACCCCCACTTTTGCAGAAAGAGGAGTGTCTCTGCAGACTGAGCTCAGTACAGGTAATATACTCATTTTCCTGCAATGCCTGACCCAAAGGAAAGACTTCCCAGGGTAGGCATTTAGGATTGGCCACCTCTCCGCAGAGCCACACCAGCTGCTCTCTGGCCATCGCAGCTCTTCAGAAAGTTCCAGTGCTCTTCAGAATGGGCAGTGGCAGCAATGCAATAGAATGGTATGAGGGGATACAGAGGCAGCATGTGGGTAGTGGGGGAGGAGAAAGGCAGTCTGAGAGGATGAGGGGGGCAAGCAGGAAGGAGACAGATGTGGCTGGTGGAAGGCAGGTGAGAAAGTGGAGAGAGGGGTGCCCAAAGGGAGGGAGCAGTAGACATGAATGAGAGAGAGAGAGGAGAGAAATGCAGCAGATGGAGAGAAAACAAATGGAGCAGACAGGGCACAAAGGCCGGAGGGAGAAAGGAGACATCAACTGTAATGGCTAGGGAGGAAAGGCTGCTTTCATGCTAAATAGTTTGTCTGTGTGTGTAGGAAGGGGTTCACACCTGAAATATAGCGAAGACTACTGCTTTAACATAAAACTCCTGTAGCAACAGGCCAGACTCAGCTTCTTCATCATTCATTTGCTTTACCAGGCCTTGGATTGTTTGCTGCAAAGTAAAATGCCCTACATTATTTTGTAAGTATGACTGTTCCAGGGCAGAAAACAAAGCACATTATACAAAGCAGGAGCCAGTGTGATGTGGTGGTTCAGAGCATAGGACTGGGACTCAGGTGATCTGGGTTCTAGTTTCTGTTTGTCTGTGGAGCCAACTGGGTGGCTTTGGGCTGTCAAGGTTGTTGTTGTGAGGATAAGATTAAGAGCAGCAGGAGGAGAATTATGTAAGCTGCTTTGAGTTAATTGAAAAAAGATGGGATATAAATCTAACAAATAAACATCTCTTTCCTTCTTAACACTTCACACACATTAATTGACATAAGATTATAGGCTGCCATTTTCATCTACATTACTGAACTATTCCCAGAAACCCTTCCACCTGTAATTTCTTTACAAAAAACCTGAATGTAAAGACCATTGAAAATTCTTACCAAAAGCTGGCTTTGTCAACTTTGGAAGACTTGATTCACCTGGGGAGAATCATTCAAATGCAACCAATATGGTCAAGTGCCAACCTTCTCTCTCAGGCAAGGTAGGATAGCTACTGGGCTAGCTATTGCCCATTCACAACACCCTGAAGCATCCCACTGAAGCAACAGGAAGACTGGCTTGAAGGAGGAAATGGAAGGCCTCTCACTCTGGCTTCTTATTGAACAGAGAGGATTACCGAGGGTTTGGAGCAGAGTGAGGCAACAAATAGGGAAAACAAATTCTCTCTCAGTTTGTATTATCTTCAGGAATACATTCCTGAAAATCAATCTACTTTTGAACTAAATTTTACAGTGTCATGAATTTCTAATACAATTATATTTTAATGAAGGTGATAAGCAGTGCGACTGTCATTGCTTATTTAGCCAAAATACCATCACTTCTGTAACAAAGGGAGGTATTAGTAGAAGTGGAACCCACAGATCTTCAGAAAAATTTTTACTGAAAAGCAAACTGGATGGTGGAGGGGGGAGAAAGCAGCCCAAGGAGGACTGAGCATGCACACTGCCACCAAGCACTGACTAGGCAGGTCTGGGGGTGAGATGGAAGGCGAGAAATGAAAACTGGCAGGGACAGAAGTGGAGTGGTGCATCATGGGGAAGGGCATGGATGACTGACTGGAACAGGAACTCACTCTGCACCCATTGCAGGTCTCATTTGCTACAGTTAATGCCTTAAGTGTGCTCCCTCACATTAAAAGGAGTTTAAAAACATCCTACATAAGTTGCCTCGATGAATGCAAAAGCAATACAATTTATCATTGAGCCATAGCTTGTACTGCAAAGTCCATTAGTAACACCTTAGCTACCTGTAAGTTATTTTTTGTAGGCAAACAAAACAAGACTTAATCTTGCTTCTAATTAGGTAGTTTAGTTTGTATTTCGATTAGGGTCCTGGCACAACTGCGTTAGAAAACTGGCAGCGGCTAACCACATTTGAATTTATTACTTTGCACCAAACTGGATTCAATAGCTGTCTATATAAACAAACATATCAAAGCACTTGAAAATGAAAATATTTGTTTATATTGTATACAAAATCCTGTCTATGAAACTTGAAAAATAGTATCTCTATAACACTGAGTAGTTTTATTTTAACCATTGAGTATATGAAATTTTGTAACACCCTACACACTAACACCTAAAGAGGGAAAAAAACAAGGACCCATTAAGAGGAGACAAAAAGTTATAAACACACATTTAGTCCTATTCAGAGCCATAAAATCTATACTTATATGCCTCTCTCTATTCAAGTTACGCACGACATGCCAACATAGCCCTGCCCTAGATGCACTTCACATGACCCCAACTTGTTCCACTCTTGTGTAGGTGCTACCTCTGAGAAGACCAACGGATTATTCTTTCCCCCAATATTATCCCACATCCCACCACTGTGCCAGGTTGCTTTCTGGCACAGTGAATGGGGCCACGCATCTCATTGCTTACACAAGCAACAAGAGGCCTCAGTTCCTTTGCCCTGTTGTTAATGTGCAAAGACGAGCAAGAAAATCACTATCATCATTCTAGTTTCTCATAACTCATTAATTTTAGACAGATAAAAAGAGTGTAAAAACTCAGTCATAAAAATCTAGTGATGATATTACATTAAATAAAAATAAAAATCACACTAAAAACTGAGTTACAGAATTTTTTTCTGAAAAATGAAGACAGGCATTTGGCTTAGGCAAACATAATGTACTGTAAACACACTGGATGTATTGATACAAGCCTATTTACTACAAAAGTCAGCACGCTAAACCTCTGTTTGGGGTAACACTTAACTGCTCCTCTATGAAAATTATTTAAAAATCACCTGCACATAGAAAACAAGTTGTTAGGTAAAAGAACTATCCTACTCTTCTTCCTGATGAACTAGTTTTCTACATGCAGGGAATAAATTTGAATAAAGGTATATTTAACTACTTGACACCTGCACTTGCAGCCTGAGGGTACAGTTCAAACTCAGGTGGATCTCATCAATAAGAATTAAGCCTTCACCACCAACAGTTAAGACAGACTGATACTAGTCACTGTCTGATTTAAGTATCTATGGATAACATCACATATCAGTTTAGTGAATAGCATTGTTACATCAATCTTAATTCAATAAGGGTGTTAGAAGAAAATAACTTGTGATCAAGAAAGTATGAAAAAGCAAACCATATTTCTGATGTTGAACAGAAGGAAAAAAAACATGCTGGTTTTGTATACAGCTTTAGAAGGGGATACTTGGGAAGAAGGGAAAGAAAATAACCCGCCGTAAGACATGCCTTCCATTTGCTGCACTGGATAGAACCTGTAAACATGAACATAGTGACATTTGTTGTCGTGACATTTGTCTCAAATTTTAATAACTGATAGATGAGAATTTCTTACCTGCTTTCCTCAACATGTTTTCTTGTGATTTAGCCACTCTTATAACACCTGCAGCAGTATCTCTGACTATCTGCTCTTCACTTTGCAGTAGCTGAACAACACATTTCCAAAGGATCAGCGTATCAGACAGACCTGTGTATTTACAATAAGGGATTGCAGGGTGGGGTGTTTAAAAAAACATGCTTGCAAATAAACATAGGCTGGAATTGTAAGCAACAAGAAAAATTACAGCATATTTAGTTATTTTTAAAGCAGAGTAGAGATACTGTCAGAAGCCTTTCTGAACGTCTCATCTCTATCTTAATTTTCATCTCAGTGACTAAAATAGTTCAAACTTTGCTATATTGGGTAAATGGCTATCTCCTGTTACTGGGTTCAAATAACACAATAGCCCACATCCAAAGGTAAAGTATGGTCTGTCACTGAATCATAGGTTTTTGTGCTGTCTGAACCTAGATGCACTAACTAGCCATGCTTTATTAACCACTAACTACCCATGTAAAGAATCCATTGCTTGTTGTTGGCTTGCAAACTGTGGGCTGTTCACCATAATTTGTTATCTTGACTGGGTCCAGATAGCATGATAACCCACATCTGAGCAACAACCCACATTGCAACAAGAAGCCACACTTATCTCCTGAACATGGGTTAGCATGATGTGTGGTACCCCAAATTCACAGCACATACGTACAGACTTATCCATTGCAGGAAAAAGATCTGCATGCGCAAAGAATTACTTGCTCTGCTATATAACGCTCTGGTTCTTTCTCAACTTGACTGCAAACTCCCTTGCACAAAACTTTAAGATTCACAGTAATTTCTCTTTGTGCTTCCAAAGATTTGTATATAAACTGAGACCCACACATTCACAGTAAAAATGTAATATTAATGGTGGTTTTAATTTTAATGTACTTTTATGATGTTTTATTGTTGTTTTATTCTATATTTTTGTATTTATTACAGTTGTTCCCCACCCAACGAGCTTCAGCTATTGTTCCATACAGAAATTCAATAAAAGAACAGTAGCAGCAACACCACCAGCAGGAGAACTTCAGCTTTTAGGCAATACAGAAATTCAATCAATCAATCCAGGACAAATTCTGCTTAATTCGGTGTAGCAGCCTGTTCTTCATTTGCATACTACAATCAGTGAAAGTCAACAGTACCTAACTTTGGTTTATTTGTGCTTATAGTGCTTAGAGAGCCAGTGTGGTGTAGTGGTTAAGAGCAGGGGACTGGGACTCAGAGGATCTGGGTTCCAGTCCCCGCTCAGCCATGGAGCCAACTGGGTGACTTTGGGCCAGTCACAGACTCTCAGCCCAACCTACCTCACAGGGTTGTTTTGTGGGGATAAGATGGAGGAGGAGATTGATGTAAGCTGCCTTGAGCCCTTTGTAGGAAAACAGCAGGATATAAATCGAAAAATAAATAAATCTGTCTAGTTACTTACCCAAGAACAGCTTCTCACTGGTCAGGAAAAATGGGGTGACACTCACAAGAATCTCTGCAGCAGTCAACCTGAGATCTGTTTGCTGTTCATCTCCACAACAAGAAGCAATTCTTTCAACCCATTGTTTTATCTCTGATTTAATCTCCTGTAAGAAAAAATATTACTGACATTAGAAGCCTAAAGTGAAAAAGCATCCAACCCTCAGAATTATGCAATACACAGCTCTGATGATTATCTATCAAACTGTGTTGATGGACATCTAAAATTGATGCATAAGTGTACAGGGATGGTAAACACTTTATCGAGACTTGTTTTTCTGTGGCCCCTTGACTAAAAAGCAGAAAAAGACATTCAGCTCTACTGGATTCCATAGATCAGAAATTCTACACAGAAAAGAAAACCAAAATCCAAGTTTTGATCTAAAAAAGGGTTATCAAATATTTTGTTGGAATAAAAATTAAAACAAAAATGCATAAACCTGCAAACTTCCCCAGTGCTTCTAAAACTTAACAAGAGAATGGTCTTACTGGTCACCCTCAATGACCACTTCACCTTAAGGAGCTGAGGGCTGTAGTCATAATTCCAGGTTTTGTAAGCACAAAGCAATTAACTGTACTGGTTCATCAAAATGAAGAGAATGTTTAAAGTTCAGTCCACAGAAAGGAAGTTCTTAATTTCTCTTAGAATAACAAACACAATGCAAACAGTACTGGTAAAGCAAATTTCCTTACCACCTGCCAATTTTGTGCAAGGTAGATGACCAACTTTGAGGCAAACTTAAGGGATATACTTTGAATTTCAGTGCTGTGAAAATAAAGGTTAACAAAGTTAAATGCGAAATAAATACTATGCAGCTTTGACATCTAAGTCAACTGGTAATCTGTTTAGAAGCAAAATACCTCTTCCTCACTTGTTACACATATTATGCCCTGTATCCTGAAGCCAGGATGAAATTTACCCCAGTTCAATCTGTTATGGCTGCTCTCAATCTGAATATGCAACCAGATGAAGAACTGTTGTGCACAGGGATGCACAATGTCAGAAGTTCCATGCTAGACCAGACCAAACTTCATTTTGTCCACAATTCTAGTCGTAACAGCTGCCCATGGGAATCCCACAAGCAAGACTGCAACAGCAACTTTCTGCCCATGTTCCTCAGCCATTAGTATACATAGGCCCCCTGCCACTGGTATGGGAAGTACCTCACAGCCATCACACATACCCTTTGGTATAGGTCTTTTTACACCTAAAAAATTTGCACTTAACTTCCTATCTTTCTGAAATTTCCTGAGTCCCCTAGCTATGGTCACTTCTAAGCTGCATGCCACTTTCATAACAATTTCCCACAAAGTGTGCGTATGTGTGTCTTATTTGAAATTGCAAAGACTGATCTTGCACAAATGCTTCCATAGCGGTTTATCTGAACTTAACAAACCTGACCCTTGAAAGAAGGGGCAAATAAAATAAAAAGGTACTTGGCAGTTTATTTTTTTTTTAATCTAAATGTAAAAGTCCTTGGCACAAAAAAATACTTGGATTTATTTGCCTGAAATTTGGCAGGTCCATACTACTTTTAAGAGGCCAGCTGCATCCAGTGCTGATATAGAGCAATTTTATAGCCATTTGTTGATTACCAAGGTTAGATACGGGATGGTATGACGCTTTTAATTTCCAAACTGAGAGTCAAACCAGAGGTGGAGCAGACAGCTTGCAATTAGATCCAAGTTGACTCAGGGCCCAGTCCTAGTCTTGTGGCCTTACTGCTAGCTAAGCGTCATGATGTGTGTATTTTCCCTCCAGGATCACAGGCACTACACCTCTCAATACTGGTTGCTGGAGAACACGACAGGAGGTTACTATTGTACTCATGTCCTATTTGTGGGCTTCCCAGAGATATCTGGAGTGAACTGAATGCTGATAGGCTTCTGGTATGATTCCGCATGATTGCTGGTATTAACTTCTTGAATTCATTTAGAGAAGTTATCATTTCTAAGCCTCAATAGCTCACCTGAAACAGTGTGGCAGCTCTTCAAGTGTTTGTGAATGCATATGAAAATTACATCAGACATGCATTACAAAATATATGGCAATTTTTGAGACTTAACATAATACAAATGTAAATTTCTTATTTCCTATATCAATGATTATTCATTTTTAATGGGTAATCTGCAATCAGTAAATTTTATAGATTGGCAAAATATAAAAGAACAAGGCAATATACCTGTCAGAGTCATCTATTATATTCATAAGCCAAAGCAAGAAATCTCTTGGATTCATTTTTATCGTATCTTCTGCCTTTAGAAGCACATTCTTGAGGTCCATATAGTACAGCACATGTAACACCTATAACAGAAACAAGAACAAAAAAATATAAGAAAATAAATATTCTATCCTTGGATATAACCATTCTAGCAGAAATTGTCCTTTTATTACAGGGGATTGCCTGCTTTGTTCATAATAATGTAGGCAAGCAGTATTGAGTTCTTCCATTCATCATATTTTAGAGCAGGCATGGCATTTCTATCCCATTTACCACATTTTTCTCCTTTGTTCCACAAAGAGAAGAAGTTAAGTATGTGAGGAAGCTTTTAGCTGTTCTCTAGTCTGCTTTGAAGATAAGAAGCATTCTCTCCACCCCTTCTTTTTTTTGGCAGGGGGGTGGTGGTGGTCTGGAAACATCCAAGACACACTAGGGCAGCTCATTTAGTCCATCCTCCAGGTGGGGCAGCATCCCTGATTAGGGGACTTCCTTTCTGGCTTCTTTTCTGGGAAAGATAGAAAATCCCTGTAATATTATCAGGATGTATTTCTCTTATCTGTTGTCCTTTCTGGCCAAAGAGTAAATTTTTTAAAAGGATAAATATTCTTGAACTCATCCATCTGCTTGCATGCAGCAAAGGGTCCAAAATACAACAAGAAGAAATGGGGCAGACTACTCCAAAATTTTATTAAAATGGAAGATCTTGCATTAATGTACTTTATAAAGTGTGTCTGTAGAACAATTATATTATGTACTTGTTGTGAGCCACCCCGAGGCTTTGTTGCGATGGGGGCGGCATAAAAATGTTTTAAATAAATAAATAAATAAATTTGCTTTTAGAATGTATTGTCACCTTGCAAATCCCTTCTGGGTGCTTTTCCTGTACAGCTATCCTCAAAAGCATCTCCTCCAAACCAGACAGTAGACACAACAGAACGTTTCCTCCTTCTTCCGTCACATGTTTTGAATTTACTTGATTCAACCACAGCAGGGCTGCATCCAAGATCAAAAAACGTACTTCATAGAACTCAGAATGTAGCAGATGTGCAACTGACAAACAAGGATCCAGTATTTTCTCTTTGGCAAGTAAACTGCTGTTTGCAAACTCAGGTTCTGCAGTCATTGAACATACAGATATGAAAAGTCTGGTGATGCTTTGGAGATACTGAGTAAGTCCTGGCGCTGCAGGGGAAAGGTTGATACCCGTTGCCAGTTCAGAAGCAGATATAATTGTGCCCATTTTCTTCCAAAAGCTGACCAACTGTGTTTCTGAAATGAAATGGGATAGGTTGATGGGATGAAGAAGGAAAAGGAAAAATTACCTTTTTTTACTTCACATGAACACTTAAACCATCAATCAGCCAAATTTAAGCATAATTCACTCCCACCGATTTCAACAGGAAAATCGGACAACAGATGTCCTCATAATTTAAACACTAAAGGTATTTCAGACTTTGAGAAACTAAATCCCCAACTCCATTTTACCAATGTCTATGAGTGATCATTTTTTTCCAGAGTTACACATTTTAAATTTAAAACTTGTTCTGTACACTTCAGTAAAATGACGCTTTTTTCTATTTCATCACTGACTAAAATACTAGTACATAGATGGACAAGGCTCCCCTACCCCCAACTTTGCCGAACAAGATCACATGGTTTGTTCAGGACTAGAGGGGAAATAATACAGAAAAAACAAGAAATGGGGATTGATTACACATGTTATGTTTTACCTCTTTCCATGCATAATCTGTACTGAAGGATCAATTACAGGTGCTTCTACAGGATGAATTATTTGAATCTATCTTTTGTCTTTCAAGTGACAAACAGGCACTTAAAGACTCAGGTGAAATGATGCAATCATTGTTCCAATCAAGAATGGATCAAACACTTTACAAGGAAACAGATGCCTGCTGTACTGCATAGATACTGTACTGTATGGAAAGGAGGCTACTTAGGGGGGCATGCCGGAAATCCCCACATCTAGAGCCTTCATGCGGCTTGGCTGCATTGAACAAGCAGGAGACTGGAAATTCCAACATCCAATAGCCCAGGTGTGGATTGCTCAAAACAGATATGTAGAGGACTGCTGGAAGCTGATAGGAGATTGGAAATACCAGAATCCAGCAGCTTGCATGGGAAGTTTGGGCTCTGATTCAGACATCTACACCTGTATTGCACTTGTGTAGCACTCATGCCAATTTACCCTTTTGGCAAAAACAGTGTGGGCCTTCCTTTTTTCCCTCCCACCAGTCATCTGTTTGGTTGAAGAGGGCTGGAAAAGGAGACTAAGCAAACATAAATGTTCTCACAAATCTCTGGATTACTGTTTACACATGTTTGTATCATCTCATGCTACAGCCAAATGTTTCTGATTTTCCCTTATACTCTACGTTTTCTTTAAAAAGTATTTCCCAGAAAAATAAGGATCTCAGCTCAACTGAGTGAAAAGTATTCATGTTTTTACCTTTGACGAAAAATCTTTCCCAACTTCCATTTACATATTTATTTTTTCTGCCTAGCTTAAAACAAACTCTTTCCCTTGGCCAATGCCATAACTTTTTATTAAACCAATACACACATTAATTTCCAAAGTAAATGTCTGGCTCCGTTCTTAAGTTGATTTAAAGAGGCACTTCTATTTACAGAGAAAACTATGCTGTGAGAAGGGCCAGCTATTGAACATTTTCCCTATACCAGGTTGAAGAAAAATGGAACAGGAATAGGAAGAAAGGTAAAAAATCAGATCAACTACACTAATAATTTGGGCTTGGCCAAAAGCTATATTCCTCCCAAAGAAAGCTGTCAGTGCTTCAAACTGGTGTGGATGATTTCTATATGAAAACACAAAGAACTTGGCAGGGCTGCTTCCAGTGGGAGGTTGATTATCAGCCAGCAACTCAACAAAAATGATGCAGACATTGTAAAGGATGAATTCAACAGCTGATAATTAAACTTGGGTGACTATTGTTGCAAACAAGATGATGAAGTAGACGGAACTTTGGCTGTATCCATCAAAGTTGTTATACAGTATTCCTAAAGGATAGATTCCTACTACCCTTATTTATACACTGCTTTTCAACAAAGCTCAAAATGGAAGCAGTGGAGTGGGGTACCACAGGGTTCAGTCCTGGGCCAGCGCTCTTCAATATTTTTGTAAATGATTCAGATCAGGAAGTTCAGGGAACAATTATCAACTTTGTGGATGACACAACGAGGTGGGATAGCTAATTTCCTGGAAGACAGAAAGAAGATTCAAGGTGATCTTGATAGGTTTGGAATGCTGGACTGAAACATAGAAACAGAGTGAGTCAGAAGGGGCCTCCCAGGCCATCTAGTCTGACGCCCGGCTCCAGGAGGCTCTGCTCACGACATGCCCACCATGTGCATGTCCAGCCTATCTTTGAATACCCTCACCGAAGGGGCCTCAACCACCTCCTGTGGAAGCCCATTCCATACCCTTGGGGTCCTATCTGTCAGAAAGTGCTTCCTGTCATGTAAGTGGAACCTTGGCTCCCTGAGCTTTGCTCTGTTGGAGCGCATCCTGCCTTACTCTGCAGGGGAGAACAGGTTTCTACCCATCTCCATGTGACATCCCCTCATATACCTGAATGAAAACAATGGAATGAAATTCCATAGGGACAGATGCCAAGTTCTGCATCTAGGAAAAAGAAACCAAATGCATAGTTTCATAGTAATCTGCATAGTAATCTCCAAACTACAAAATGGAGAACACTTGGTTCAACAATACTGCAAATGAGAAGAATCTTGGAATTGCTGACAAGTTGAATATGAGTCAACAATCCAGTGTGGATGCAAAAAAGGCAAATGCTACTTTAGGTTGTGTTAACAGAAGTATCACTTCCAAATCACGTTAAGTTACCCTTTACCACTGGTTAGGCCTCATCTGGAGTATTGTGTCCAGTTCCGGACAACACTGTTTAAGAAAGATGCAGACAAGCTAGGCAGGGTTCAGACGAGGGCAACAAGGAAGATTCAGGAACTGGAAACAAAGCCCCATGAGAGATTGAAGGAACTGGGCTTGTTTAGCCTCAAGAAGAAAAGACTGCGAGGTGATATGAAGCATTCTACAAGTATTTGAAAGGCTCTCACAAAGAGGAAGTGCAGGATCTTGATCAACCAAGAAAGCAGGACATGGAATATCAGGCTCAAGTCACAGAAAGCCAGATTCTGACTAGATATCAGGAAAAAATTCCTGACTGTTGGAGCAGTACAATGGAACCAATTACTTGACGAGATTGTGGGTTCTCCCACAATAAAGCTACTCAAGATGCAACTGGACAGCCACCTGAGAGGGATGATTTAACTTGGAGTCCTCCACTAAGCAGGGGGTTGGGCCCACTGTCCCCTTCCAATTCTACTATTCTATGAACAAAAATAAACTATAAATGAAATACAGTGGTACCCTGGCTCATGAATTTAATCTGTTCTAGGACTCTGGTTGTGACCCAAATTGGTTGTGAGCCAAGTCAAATTTCCCCATAAGGTTCAATGTAAATAAGGTTAATCCGTTCTGCAACAATTTATTTTTTTATCACAAAAATTTGAAGCGGGCGTGCTGGGGCAGGGGGGAAGGCAGGCGGGATCATGGGTGCACTGGGGGGAGACAGACATGATCATGATCATCGCCCAATACGGAGTTCGCGACCCAAGGCAAAATTTTTCAGAAATTTCTGTTTGTGACCTGATTTGGTCGTGAACTGAGGCGTCTGTGAGCCAAAGTACCACTGTACATATAAGATGTACAGCGATAGACTATTTAAAAGATTGACAAAACAGTAAGATTTTGCAGGGCTTTCAAAAAGACAACAATGTTGGAGACTTCTAACCTTGCACGGATGACTTTTCTAAGTTTTGCTGAAAAAAGCCTTATCTCAGGCCACTCCCATTTATCAAACCCACAGGAAACTTTATATACTTGCATAGACAGGCCAGTTTGTCAAGTGGTCACAGAATCTCATAGTAGCATAAATGGTAAAACATCAGAAATAACACTTTTTGAAATTTTTGTACAAAGGATAATCGTAAGTGAGATGAATATTGGTGATCAAGCATTCTAACTCATGTTATAAACTGTCTACTCACTGGAATGCAGGAGCATACATTGTGGGTTTTTCAATGAACGCCTATACATTTTTCACTGCAGTACTGATTTACTATTTGTGATCATCTGATTACAGATTACTCCTTGTTTAGGACAACATTTCTCATCATTTCTGGCCATCATTTTGATGATGTACTCCTGACCTTCTAGGGGTCAAGTTGAGGAACGCTGGATTACAACCAATGAATATATTTATTAAAGGCAGTACTAAATACTAAGTTCTGTGCTGAAGATAATATTAGAAATATTTGTCATCACCTCAGCAATTATGAGGAATGAAAATTTGCAGAGTGAGAGTTCTGAAAATTTAAAGATGATCTCAAAGATTCTAAGGGGCATAGGGCAGCCACTTTGGAAAGATTAGGAAGAGGTTAGAATTGTGTGTATACAACATAACATGTAAAATGGTGGCATACCATTAATATACTATTCTGCTCTGTTCTTGATCTATATACTGCATGTTTTGGAAGCAGATCTAGTATCTTTGGATTAATTAGATATAGTAAAGTGGTCTAAGCATTTAACCAGATGTTTGCTGATAAGCATGTTAAGAATAAATTATCTAAAATATTGTCATTAATTATGGAATATCACTTCTAAAATTCAAGAGACCATTATAAATAGAAATTTGAAGAGGCTTTTGGAATGAAGAAAGTTCCTTCATTCTGAACAAGATGAGGTATCTACAAAAAAAGGTAACTTAACTTCCTAGTAAGAGTATTCCTCATTCAGGATTCTCACCAGTCAAGTGATGCCTTCCTCCAGGAATCCAATAACCTGTAATCACCTCCATCAGGACATTCCATTCTCCCCCTCCTTTTCCATTTTTCTTTACCAACTAATAGTCAACAGCTAAGAGTTTCTGAGCATGTCTACTCCTTTGTGAGACGGTTTCAAGAGTTTGATTTTGTTCTTTTTCTAAACTTTTTTATTCTTCTGTAAACCTTGGGGTTCTATCAGCATAGAGATACTTATTTCTCATGTCCCATTAGCCCAGTTTTTGTTAGAATTTGGGATTAGTGTAATACACTAATTATAGGACCCTCTTATCTATTAAGTGCTACATTTAAAAGGTAATTTCAAGTTTAAATTAAAAATATATGCCAAATCCGTGAAGCCAATTGATCAAATATGTATTTATTCAGAC